TCTCTCCTCACAGTGAAATACTCCCTGAAATATTTCCTCACTGCCACGTCTGGACTCCCAGACTTCCCAGAGTTTGTGGCTTCTGCTTTGGTTAATGGAGTTCAGGTGGGTTATTGTGACAGCAACATCAGGACAGCCGAGCCCACACAGGACTGGATGAAAAAACTAGTAAAAGACGACCCTCAGCACCTGGACTGGTATTCTGAGAAGTGTTTCGGAAATCAGCAGGTCTTCAGAGCCAACATTGATAGCTTGAAGCAACGCTTAAACCAGACTAGAGGTAAAAAGATAATGACATATATATTCTATGTGTACGTCCATGTTTAACTTTATCTTGCTGTCATTATTTTATGACTTAGCAGATATGTTTCTCTCAGGTGTTTTGTCACTTTGGTGTAGTACAATGTAGTAGTCAGTGTAACCACATGCAAACACATGCATGCATTCATGAACACATTTTTGAAGAAAAATAAAATAAATCACAGGAGACATGACTTTCTTTTGTTATGTTTTGTTTATCTCAAATCTGTCCAAGTCCAAATAACAAAACATCTTTTTTGTTTAGATATTCATGGAGAAGTTCTGGTAGTTTTATTAGATTATTTACTGATGTATGGATTTACATTATGCAATGCCATTCTTGCCCAAGAGTGGCTCTGATTATGTTTATGCCTTTGCCATTAACTAAAATCTCCATCTAAGTGTCTGTGACAACCTCACAGTGTCCCATGTAGTCTAGAACTGCTCAGCATTTTCTTTATTGTTCTCCTACCTGATATATGTATATTGTAATGATTATATTAGTCAAAAACTAATTTAATCCACCTATGATAATCAACTTATGACATTTGGCTCTGTTTCAATCTCTCCTTACAGGTCCTTGCATCTTACAGAGGATGAATGGCTGTGAATGGGATGATGAGACTGAAGAAATTAAAGGTTTTAATCAGTACGGTTACAATGGTGAGGACTTCATAGCATTGGACCTGCAAACACTAACATGGATCGCTCCCAAACCACAGGCTGTCATTACAAAACTGAAAAGGAATGCTGAAAAAGCTCGATTAGAACACAACAAGAACTACTACATCAACAGGTGCCCCGACTGGCTGAAGAAGTATGTGAAATATGGGAGAAGCTTTCTGCAGAGATCAGGTAGGATTATATTTCTTAGTCTGTGCAGACATATGTTATGTACCCATTGTATCTCTAATCCACAATAACATTCCAGTGAAAATGAAAAAAATATCCCATGACATCTGTTCAAAACATCTGTCTCAGTTAA